CTCAGAGGCTTGTGGGAAGTTCTGAGTTTATTGTTCTCACCCGCATGATGGTTATGATATCAGCCACGCTGACCTCAGAGCCAAGACAGTCTGTTCAAGCAGACTTCAACATTTAACCTGTTCTGTTCGAATTGTGATCGAACAGGCTATGCACAAAGATTCAGTCACAATCACAACTGAGAGTCAAGATTCGCTAACTGTGCAATGGAATAGATAGATCATGTGTTTGTGGAGGTTCGGTCAGCGGACAGAGTCACGATTGTAATGAGCTCTCTTCCCACAACGGTGATGTGACCGTGATTCGCTCCGTTCATCTTGGTCTGTCACTTTAATCCTTTGAAGTAGGCTCCCGATCATCGCGATTACTTGAATGAATTTCAGGTGTCTGTGGGTTCGGTGGATTCTTATCGAATTATGTGCACAAGGCAGTCATGCGCACAAACACATGCTTGCTTCAGCAGTTTCGCTAACCCACTCCTAAGCTAAGCGGTTCAGTTTGCCATGACTCGGTACGGTTTCCCGGCCTTTCACATCCTCTCTGTGAAGGCACACTATTGCTACTGTGCTGCAGATGATAGGTGGTGCATCCTCTTGACTAGAACAAATTGCCTGTTGGTGGCACCATACTTCAATGAAGTACAGAGAGAACTAAGCAAGCACAAAATGTCCAAAATTCATTCTCACACTGATCACTCACCGGTTTCGAGAAACAATTGTCGTATACTCTTAACATTCCTCCGGGTTGCATGTGCAGCGTTATTCTGTGAAAATAATTTTAAAATAAAACAAAATCGTATAGAGGGATCAGAACAGTTTGATATAATTTGCACACTCATATACGCATACAAATTGATACGTGCACACACGAACACGGTTACTATTTTCACATTACACTTGGGGATCTATTCGTTTGCAATAGTATTTATAATAATAATGTAGCCTTAATTCACCCGGTTTACCTTGTATGGGGGAATGGTTTTAGTAGGATTTTCAAATTCAGAGTCTGTACTCAGCAAGGTGCATTTTTGAAAAAAGTTCAAATTTTTGAACTTTTATTTATTACATACCTAAGTATGATGAACAGCAGACGGGGCGAACCCCATAGTCACGAGGAACTGTTGTTTAGTGGTGGAAACCGGCAATATAAGCCCCGGGATTTGGAGTGGAAAACCACATAAGGCCCCGCTTGGTCAGGCGTGGTATTGAATCGGACGACAGCAGAACTGCCTACCACCAAAGTTGGGTGGCAGTGTCTGGGCTCGAACCTTGGGCCATAGGGTCCAAAGCACGCCGGTGATAGCGACTAAACCGCTGCGCCACCACCAACCTTGAATTAATCATCATGTCTTATAAAATTCCGTAACTACTATAAAATGTGTAGTATATTTCGACAGCCCAGGTTATGCTATTTCAACTGCAGTTTGTTTTATAGAGTCAACTCATTTCGTCCCGAATATACGACAAAAATGGTCATTTTGATTGTTCAGCACTTGAAGGTTCTTCTGTGGTGATATCACAGAGAGAATATAACCTGCAAGTGTCGAACAAACTGGATGTGAATCTGGTCAGCACTGATGCGCTTTTCTATCTAACATGATGGACTATTGTATTATCCCAGCCGCTTGAGATGTAGCTTATTGGTTCTATTCTATTGCAGCTTCATGCTACGGAGATAAGCAATGGGTCAAGCGTCTCTCATTAATGATTCATTTGTATCAGCGGAGCATGACCCGATATGGCTTTTCGCCGTTAAATCTGCGAGATCATGTATAATTTCAAGTCCGAATTGAAAAACTTATACCTAACATCAGCAATGTCACCTTAACGTGATTGAGAATATGTTTACTGTGCTCAAAAGATAGAATAAAGTATACTCCCATATCTTTTTCACTTCCGATATCTGATTATAATTGGAAAACTATATAAGCAGACCTCACAGTTTAAACATGATGGTCACGAAAAGGGTTACCCACGGTAACCGAGAGGTCGGCGAATATAAATTCTCTAACGACCTTATAACATTCACAATAAAACAACACATGGCGCATCGATTTTTCCATACACTCCTAACATCATTTGGTCCTGCCCACGTTGGTTAAAACAAGGAAGAATAGGAAGCATAAGAAGCGCCATTTTTGGTCATCTGTTGGATACAGGCTATCAAATTTGACCAGAATCCGCTTTCATGGTAATCTATCGTGTGCCCCCCGCCCCCTTTAAAGCAATGCTCTTACACACACTTGCCACCGCCTAGTCCCATTAGAACTGCGCACACAAGCGACTGGTTCAAGCTCTCCACTTACCCTGGCCCTAAATTGATCATCATCACCACCACCACCACCACCACCACCACCACCACTCCAATCACAGTCAGTCTCACCCGAACACAGACACATAGGGCTTACCCCACCCCTCCCCTCTCCCCATCCCAAGGGACCTTTCGACCCAGCGTGAAAATGTGTCCCCACTAACAGCAAACCCTTANNNNAAAACAATTGTTCGCCTTCGGACCTGTATTCTGATGTTACAATGGGATTATTCTGGAATGTAATGTAATAGACAATATATCGACGGTTTTTATTCTAACTTATCCAAAGCCGCTCAAGTAATGTGCATAACGGAAATCTATTGCTACCCGTTAAGTATAATTCAATACCTCAACACAATACCTACTGAAAGATACAAAACTTTGCTATTATCGATCCGAAGCGCTCCTAGAAAAAGCACTCTTGGAAAAACAAAAACAGTTGACGCAACTGCTTCTCACCTATTGTCTTTTGTGAGATCCAGAGTTCGAGAGAGGATAGCATCACTGTAAAGAGTTCCAACGTGGCCTGAAAAATGAGTTTGGAAACGATTAGCATTGTGTGAAATAAGTCTTGTTAAAGTTGTTTCGTTTCCTTGACAGTACCTATCACTAACCAGGTTAAATGGAGAAGTTTTTGATAAATTCTCATTATGGGGAAGTGGTATACAAGAAATGATTTTAATCAGAAAACCCTGATCGTTTTCTCTTTGATATAGCCACAGGGATGATAACAGTAAATAAAGAAAATGTAAAACTAATCCTGTTAAACAAAGATTGTTGTATGCATTGTGCAAACAGTTTGTTCATGTTGAATTATTCACTGAGTAATAAGTGAAATGTTAACAATGTCATCAACACTGACGGCAAGTGAACAGGTTTCATTGAACTACACGCATTAGGCAGAACATAGACTGCCCGATGTTAATAAAATTACGTTCTATCCATACACGAGATTTCACAGTTTTGTCCGTGTATGCGTTGGAATGCATTTGTTCGAACACATTGAATGACTCATCATAGGCCAGAGGGACGCAAATAATAGTATCTATGCCTCAAATGAGAACATGATTGGCGGGAAAGTTGTTTATCTGAGAGTCATTGTCTGTTGTGCTGGAAGCGTTTGTTAAACGTTGCGATTTTTCCTCGCCCTGAAGCGAATAATGCTTATCAGGATTCGATCTTCTCGGCCTTATGCGAACTGTAAGTAGTCTGTAAATCAAATCATTCTAAATAATCATATTATTTATATCATATTATTTCATGCGGTTACGTTTACACGCAATTATCGTAAAAAACAACGACAGTTAAATTTAATCTTCTTATCTTCATAAAATGATAATTTCCAAAATATTTAACAAACAGGACCAGGATGAACATGTTTCTGACTGAAGATCAAAAATATGTTCATACTAAGGCTTATTTGCAGTTATCCTTACGGTGTTCATTGAAGTGGCCATCAATTGATGAATCTGAACTTTTTCAATTTCACACACGCAAAAGCAGTAACCTGGTTCTGTGAAACTTGGATTTCATGGTAAATAGGGTTGGAACTGATCACATAAAAAGACAAATGTGGACAACTCTCCTCATAGTATTGTATGTTGATGTAACAAAATCAGTAACTGACCGTTTTTGGACGACTTAGATCGAGCGTGAAGTGAACACAACATGGAATGTACAAATTCGTGCTCCGGAATTAGTTTCCCATAGTGAACCAGTTACAGGTAATGGTGAGGAAATCAATCGCTTTTTACAGTGCAAAGAAACACTGATAAGATCTATCCAAATGTTTGTTTCGTCAGGTACATTTTCTCTTATTGCATCTGTGGAAATCGACGCTCACAGAGAATATCTCAGTGTTTGCTGGTATGCAAAACAACCGAAAGAACGAACTAAGGGACTAGTGTCACTGATTTTTTCATACATCGGAAATCACTCGTAGTAATGAATTGAAGATCTACCATTGGTGCCCAACCATTAACTCAATGTTGACTGGTCAGTTCGCGATGGATTAATGTATCAGCTAATTGGCTAACCTCACTCGGTTCAATGCCTCAAGCAATCTATAGAAGCAACGGGATAGAAACGATTGCCCCAAATGGGCGACAACCAATGAGATATTATTAACTAGACGGAGAACACAGCCTATTGCACCAACAAGTGTGTTTTGTTTACCTATCTGCTGCACGAATCTCAGACCGCTTGAACTGGGTTCATGTGGCTGTTTAGACTTCACTCTTACGATGAGTGACACACATGAAATGAATCCGAATTAAATAGCTATCCAAATCACATGATTGTGACTGTTGTACTGTGATAGATTTGTATGTAGCGACAGAAGCACGGGAGTCGTCAATACCTTGTTGTGTAGTTTCGTTCAAACCCTGTCAAAAAGCAGTTAATTTTAGAGGTATTAACCTGGTGTTTTCCTTCAAGGTCGGTACATCGTTGCTTCAAGGTCCTTCTGTGAATCCGGATTTTCGCTACTCAAACTTGATTCAGTCATAATCACTATTCAGCCGTTGATTTAGCGCAAATATTCTATAAATGGCTAATTGTGATGTATCACCAAGGGCGAACTTTTTGATCTAGAATGACGACATTATGATGCATTTAATGGTATCTTAAAATTTGTTATTTGAACTTAATCGAAGTTTCAAATTCANAAGATTACTTTTAAGGTTACACCCGAACCACTGCCAAGATGAATTGCAAGGTTCGACCAACGTCTTCAACGAAATACGATAAGCATTCTAAATAGTGTAGGTAAGTGATTCATTCGATTCTGTGTTGAGCTTGGTCATTTAGACAGCAAATAATACTAAAATGAAAAGGTGAAGATTCAGGTATGCTACAATCTTTTTTGAATGGTTTGAATGCTAGTATAGCCATATTCGATATACTTTTTGCACCGTCGACCTGTAAAATGTTGCTACAAGACTGGGCCGGTTCAGCTCCCACACTCACAGAAACTGGAGAAGTAGCAGGGGCACGAAACAAACTTCGCCATCTGGGCAGATAAATCTCACCCGCGCACGTAATGTGGACGAAGTGTTGGCGCTCGTACAGGTTTGTTTGGCATTTGTCAACTTAAGAAGTTTATGGTGCAGTCGCAAAATCCGGCTCTCTATGAAAGGTCTATTGTATGCTGCAGCAGTCCGGCCAGTGCTGCTTTACGGTGCAGAAACTTGGTCAATACCAAAGTAGGATTAAGATGGACTGATGGTGTTCGAATACTGCTGTTTACGTTGAACTGCACAGATCTAGTGCGGGAATCAAACAAGCGATGGTGAAGATAAAAGCAGAATCTTAGCTCCCCGCGGTCGCCCACTAGAGCAAGTGGTTGATCTCCATAGACTACGTTGGTTGGTGTGTTTTGTAGATGCCGCCAGACAGAGTGGCACGGCGAGCGTTGTTCGCCGGGACAGGCGATGGGTTCACAGTGCATGACCCGAGATGAAGATATGAAAACCCTGAACGGGAGTTTGCGTTAAGTTCCCTGGTTGGGGACTTCGGGGTAGTTATAATCGATGTTTAGAGATACTGAGTGATATGGCTGAGTGTCATAAACAGTGGCGCTCGTGCATCTACTCAACGCCTTTGCAGCTTTAGTCATAGTGTATTGTCTATTTTCACACTGACACCAATCTGAACATTCCAATTTTTAATTTATTCCTTCATCCTAATAGGCAGTCCTGAGAAAACAATGAAATCGGATTCAATTAATCACCATCATCTTAGAGCGACATACAGTGAAGCGAACTTCGCTGATAGCTGCCAACCTCGCAATGCAAATAAAGTTAGTAAGAATATGTAACGTGGACGGTGATTGGACTTATGCTGAGGGTGGAGGAAAGAAAGTGAACTTCTATGGTCAACACAATAAATGCAATCTAAATATACATACATATCTTTTCAAGCGTTCTGGCCTGATAAGAAATGTTAACAAGAACTCCACCGATGTCGATTCGCCCCCATTTCTTTCACTGACTCCGACCAAGCAGTTACAGAGTCTTTTATATTCTGACCTGGAAGGCGCGACAGCTACTCTACCTAATAGCTCTGTGCATTTCTTCGTGCCTCGTCTTCACGTTATTTGTTGATCTCCTTGTGGTTTCTTCATGCCCCAAAAGCATTGCCGGGCTCTCCTTGGTGGTTGTATGTGTTGCGTTTCGGTATTGGAGTAGGAAATTATCCACCAACGTTTCTAATTCAAGGAGCGTTTCAGGATTGGCAGACGCAATCGCACTCGTGACCGTTTTGATTAAATTCTCTGCAAGCACTGCAAGCACAAGCACTTGTGGAATCCCTTCGCGACTAAAACATTTCCTTAGTACTTGTATCACAAATGATGTGGTAGGCGTAGTCGTAATAATACCTCTGGCCATTTGGAGTGTGAATCGATCAGTTCAGAAATGGACCACAAATCCACATGAACCCTTTGTCATGGTATCTAACTTTCCGACCATAGTGTCCAGGTTTGTTGAACCAATTATTTCATCTTCTCGATCCCCATATATGTCCTATACGCAATTCATCTAGTACCGTCTTCCGTAGTGGTGGTGGGATTACCAATCGATCGTAGCGACACAATACATCATCCAATTACACTAACAACTCATCTCGGTGAGCAAAGAATTGAGGATACTTTCTCTTTACCTCTAGTGACCACCCAATTTTGATCGCTGAGAGTATTGCCGAGTATTACTGTTCGGTAGATTTGCGTAAAGATTACCGAGACACTGGTGATGCTGAGGAGATGAAATGACACTGTTCGGCCTCAGAAAATCGTGAGTAGCGAAAGAGGTAATCAGCCTGCGGGATTGTCTTTCCTGAACGATGTTGGATGTCATAGTTGTATGCGGCTAGGGTGATACTCTACCTCTATAGCATAGCAGCAGTGGACTTCGTGATGGATTTGCTGGGGTTAAACAAGAACTGTAGCGCTTGGTGATCAGTGATGACGATAAACCGCAATCCGAAAAGGTACTTGTGCAATCTTCGAACAGCCCAAAATACAGCCAATGCTTTTTTGAGTCTGTGAGTATCTCTTTTCTGCCACATTACGTAGATGTGCAATGCAAACCACTGGGTATTCCTATTGTTCTAATACAGCACCGATTGCAACGTTGGACGCATCGGTGATTAGTATAGTAAGCTTTGATGGTGAAAAAGGACGATCAGTAACGCAGCGAATCAAACCACATAAGATTTCCTCACACTCCACTGACCATTCCCAAGCGTCTGAACACAGCACGGAAAAGCGGCTGCACCCTTGTAGCAAAGTTTGGAATAAATCGGGAATAGTACTGTAGGTATCCCGTCACAGATTTCAAATGCGTTTGATCCTTCGGAGATTCGATGTTAGTCAATGGTTTGAAACGTGTCAAATCGGGACGGTGTACACGGGAATCAATTGTGAATCCCAAAAACTCCAACTCACTCACACCAAACACACATTTGGACGGCTTGATAGCCACGTTCCTGGTGGCGAATCGTTCCAGTAGTGTGTCAGGCGGGCATCGT